ACAAAAATGAAGCATGTCCTGTAAATCAAGTAACTGTCTTTAAATAAATTTGATTACAATTGAGTTGATAAATTAATACTTTGTAAATATAGCGTAATGGACTGCTTAAATCAATCTTTGGTACATTTTTATTTATTTTTATAACTGTATTAAAAATTTTGTTCCATTTTTTGCTCCCTGTATAAGAAAGTATGGCTGATATTCAACAACAGTGTAAATTTAAAAGATGTGTTTCTTATCACAGGCAGTAGTCTTAGAGGGCAAATACTGGAAGCGAAAACTAGCTGCGGTTACTGCGGAATATAAGAAATGGCGTATGTTCTACCGGAACAAAATCCTTGGTTGGACAAACAAGGATGGCACGGAAATGGTATTCTATCTACGAGTTACAAATGTCTCATAATCAAATCTTTTTAAACTAGAAACTTACTTGAAAATTAAAAAAATTGTCTATATGTGGAAAATTGGAAAATTGGAAAATAACAAATATGATCAAATTAAATTGTTCAATCAAATTTTTTTTATCCAGAAAATTAAATAAATATCTCTGTTATTACATTTCTTCCAATCATGTCAGTTCCAATTTTCAAATTGCAAAGAAACATATTTTCATATTTTTTTTTAATCACAAAATAATTGATTAAATTTTTAGGATTCGCCAACATTTTTCATTTCAGATGGAATCGATGGACGTGTTAGATTGGGGCAGTGGAATGGGAACAACGGGCAATTTTGGAGCAGGTACAGGCAACACACATGGAGGGACCAGTGGGACTCCAGGTGGAGAGAGTATGATGGTTGATGAAGATTACATGGAGCTTATGACTGATACGTTATTTTCAACAATCAGTTCAAATCAACCAATATACTTTCCCGATCCCAGAGAAATTGGTAACTCATAAATAAAAGTACATAAGTAAAGTCGTTTGAATTATAGAAACGGATAACGAAGTAATATATGTATCGATATAGTTAATGTATACCTATACCTGTATAAAAGTTATTTTGTGCAATTGCTTATCATTACAGCGCGTGGAGCTAGTCTGGCGGATTTTATACAACCCAGCTTGGGACCGCTCCAGCCAAATTTAGATGATTTTATGGACACTCTTGAACCGTTACAAGGTATCAAGTCAACATAAAATTCACTCATGTCCAATAATTGATATGAATGATAAAATATATTACTGATTGTAATATTCATGATGTTTTAGAATTTTTAAATTCTAAGTTGCCCCCTGTCCCCGAGGAGGACGACATGTTTCGAAACAGTACCTTGAACGCAAACTATCCTGATCTCGACTTGATGACGCCTATGAATCAGATCAACGAGCTAAGCCAAGAATCAGCAGTAAAGAATGAGCAAACCGCACAACAGCCAACGTTGGCACAGGACGAACAAGGAGGTACTATACAGAATCTTCAGTACACCGCTAAAATATATACTCAACCTCAGCCAGAGCCAACAAATACATTCAGGAATGATATGTGAGCATCAATCATCATTATATAGAACTTTTTATAATGCAATTCTATTTTAACGTTCATGCATACGTTGTAGAACTCTAAATGAGAACTATAGCACCATACAACAAAACTACGAGCCTATTTCAACCAGCCAACCTGTTAGAGAAAAAAGTCGGTCAAGTAGAATTTCTTCGAGGACTAGTCGAGTGATTCAGCAACCTCAGCAGCAACGGAACACGTATCAAAGAACAACGCAACAGTCGCAACAACAAAATTCGGCATATCAACAAACTTCGCAGCAACCATCTTACGCCATGGAAATTCAATCTGTTCAGTTGGCACCAGTTCAAAATCAAGTACAGATGACAACGTTGAATGAACAGCCTGTTCACGCGAATCAAATCGCGCCTATGGCTACTGGCCACGTTCAAAATCTGGTGACGGTGCAGCAAAATTTTGGACAAACAAATTCTACTTCAGTGTCGGCACAACACAGGAGTATCAGGCCTCTGCCACCAGTCGCACCCATCTCCACAAAACCGTACAAAGTCGTTCAACCGCAACAATGTTACAAATTCTCCACACTACCGCAAAGTTTTAATGCGCAGCAATGCAAATTCAACGCTAACAATTTCAAGGTATTTCACAAATGCAACGTGACAAGTCCTGTCTCATTGCAACGTACCGTTTCATTTGCATAGTGCATTAATAAAGCAAAAAAACTGTGATTAACAATAGAATCAGATTGATCGTGATATTTCTCAGACACACCCACCACAACAAGTCGTATCGATTTCTGCGGAGCAATCGTCGCAATCATCGATACTATTGCAGTGCAGACCCTCCGGCTTAGATCTCACTACGCCGACTGTACAGCCCACGAAATTGTTGCCACAACCTGCTGCGTCAAATTCGGAGAAAGAAGAAGTATTTGCTGTGCCCAAGGTATATATAATTTATGATAATGTCATTAGCATATAAATATGAATGAATTTTTTTTTTTCTTATGTTCAGCAACGCGTAAGAAGTTATCGTAATAAAAAATAATAATATTTTTCGTTTCAGTATCAGATAAAAGCAAGGAATAGATCTCGAAGTAGCTCGTCGTTAACCGCACCAAGAATGCACCCGCCACCATTAGTGTCAGCGGCGAGCGATCCCGCACTAAATCTAAATAACAATGTTTTGCTCGCACAGTTACTGACGAATAGTATGTATTCCAAGAAACGTAATCTTTGTACAGTTAACACTTATTCTATATTTTATAAATCGTTTAATGGCGACATGATGCGTAAATTATTGAGAAATCGATCACACGGTATTATATATTTTGTCGATAAAGAATATTATGAGAGCTTCAATATCGTTACATAGACACATCTGGTGTACACACAATGAATATGCCAGCTGATAATATAGTGCCGACAGTGACCCAAACAACCACTACTATGAAACACATCTTACCTATGCTTCCACCTTCAGCTTCGCCTACGCAGGTAACAACTGCTCACCATATTACCACGCCGGTCACTGTCCAAACGTCTACGGTGCAAGTGCAATCACAACAACAGGTATTCTTTTATATCATCTTTTTCCGAAATTAAAGAATTACTTGAGTCAACGTTGTTCAAGAATAAAGTACTCTTTAATATAAAATTAATTTAACATTTTCGTCCTCGTATCGTAACGGATGGAATTCTTTAGTTTGAACTACGAGGACTTAACTTAAGTAACAAATCATATAAAGATATTACATAACATTGATACTAACAATAATAAACCTTCGCCTTGCATAATATAACGCGTTCAACTGTGTGCATATTAGGCAATGCAACAGACTACTTGCAGCCAACAAATGTTATTAAATACAAATACCCAAGCGCATCAGCCGCAAAATAGTCCCGGGTCACCAAAGGATAGCTCTAATGCGCACAGTCCTCAAGGGTTAAGCCTCAGTCCTTTACACAGTCCGATGAGTATAGGAAGCCCATTGTCACCGAGTCGAAGTTACATAAAAGGTGAAACTGAACGAGGACAGTATAAGGAACAGAGAAGAGTCGGGCACATTCACGCGGAACAAAAGCGTAGATATAATATTAAAAATGGATTTGATATGCTGCATAGTTTGATACCGCAGCTTAGCCAAAATCCAAACACAAAGATGAGCAAGGCTGCTATGCTGCAAAAAGGAGCAGATTATATCAGGCAGTTAAGGGCGGAGAGGAATCAGTTGAAAGAGGAGATGGATAGTTTAAGACATCAAATCGAGTGCCTTAATACGTCTATTAGGTAATAAGAAAATTAAGACGAAAGATACGAACTCTGTTTTAAAAAGATTACAATAATTTATCGAATCTTTTCGTTATAGTAATTGTCAATCTATGCTTCCTGCAACGGGTGCTCCAATTTCTAGACACAGAACTAGCAAAATGAAGGAAATGTTCGACGAATATGTACGCACGCGTACACGGGAGAATTGGAAATTTTGGATTGTATCCTTCTTTAATACTTTTTAAGCAATTTCGGTTCTATTAAGAACGTGTATGTGGCATTATTTCCTTATAAAACGATTAGTTCAGTGTATTGCTCGAGCCTCTGATGATTTCTTTCAATACCTCAGTATCAACTGCGAGTATTGAAGATCTATACAGAAGTACAATATTGTGGGTTGAGCAACATTGCTCACTCGTTGATCTCAGACCAGGTTCGTATTTTTTTTTAGAAAAATATTAAGACTACTATGATAAAGGCGTTATAGTATAATATATATTTATAAATAATTTAATTATACTAATAATTTCTTATAGCTGTTCTGAACTCCCTAAGATATCTGTGTACTGCCACTGATATTCTATCAGATCCTGGTCGCCTGCCGGAAGAAGCACTCGCAGCAGTTAATCGCACGGAACGGCGACGATCAACTCAGTGACCAATTATAATATACGAATAAATCGTGAAGCGTGATTTGCTTATATGTTTAAAAGAGCGAGCGAAAGAAAAGCAGTTACCGTAGCAGTAAGCCAATTTAGGAAAAAAATTCACGTGAAAATTCTTAAGATGACCCTTTTTTACAGTAGTAGACGTTCAGGTTTCCTTTTACAACGATTACAGTTGGGAATGGAAAGAACTTAAAGTGCAATTTGTCCTTATTCTTCACAAAATTGTGATCATAAAATTTAATAACTAATTATTAAAAGTATATGAAGATGTACATGAATTTACTTGCAAACATTTGACAAAATATATACTATGATATATAGACTGTTACAAATTTGGAACATATTGAGATTTGAATATCCTTTTCTTTTTTATAATGATAGTCGCGATTGTTCATACGTTCGTATAAAATATTAAAAAGATAAAAAAGTACATTCATATTTATTATACATATATAATTATGTACGTCACGTTTATGTTCATTCAAAATTGAGAGAAATATGATATATAATTTTACATTTTCACGAATTGCGATAACAAATTTTTATGATAAATTCCTTTCTTTTTTTCCTTTTCATTTACTCATTAAATTCATTGTAATATTTGACTACATTTTTTATGTAATATTCAAAAAAAGGAAGGAAAATTATGTGGAGCAAACCATTCCATTATATTTTTACTATGCTTGTTTTTAACTAAGTATGATATTTATGGCAATGGTAAGAGATGAAAATTAGTAATAATAATTTCTGAAAATTATTCTGTTTCTTTTTAGATAACGTTTTTTATTATTTTTAAGATAATATATTTGTAAAAAAAATGTTATTAATTCGATTATATATTATATTGTCGGCATATTTTTATAATAATCAAAATATAAATAACTTTTCGTTAAAAGATCGTAGAAATTCAGAAATTCTTTTATTAACGAATAAAAAATTATTTACCAAAATTTTGACGTTAAATAATTGGTTACATTTTCTTTTATATTACGAAAATATATGAGTGTTAATATAATATATAAAATATACAAGTATACCTACATGAAATTAGTGCCATGAAATTTATGACAAGAGACTGGTGTAAGAAACATTGTTGAAAACTGCAATTTAAAATTAAATATTTGGGAATATTTTCAATTTTGATCGTGCACAAATAATATAGGTGTTGATACTTGCATGGTAATAACTTTGAAAGGATAAAAAGGATTACATTGCAGATAATCAAATACATATGAAATAAAAAAATGGATTGCTCACAAATTATGAGTTTATTACATACTATTAGTGTTATTAAATATGAAGTTTTTAATATGAAATTTCATGTGATAATGTACAAATCATTTATAAAAGAATTCAAATATTAGAGCTTAAGCTATAAAAGACTTCTGCATATTGTAATATTGTTAGCTTTAAATACCAATTGTACATAGCAGAGAGTTAAAAGCGATGAATAATCTTTAAGAATTTCCTAAGCTGTTTTAACAATATTGCAAAAATATAAATTTTACAAATGTTCAATTAATCTTTACAATATACAGTTGTCTTTTATCTAACTTTACATTGTATATGTATAAATGATAAATAATATAAACAAATCAACAAAGGGAAATTTTTTGTACAATATGTACCATATAATCACATACAAATTCATATATTGTTATTCAGATGATAATCTCCCTCAAAAATTAAATTTTACTATTTCTTTTTCTCCTATGAATAAAACAAAAAATTATTGATTCTTTATCCATTTTTTTTTTATTTTTGTCATTTTATTAAAAAAAAAACATTTTATTGTCTATGTTATCTTATTGGACATCAATATGAGATCCAAAGCTAAATTTAATATCAAGATCTTAACAAATACAATATATATTGAAGGATTATTACTTATGATGAAATTGAGAATTAGTAACGTAAAAAAATATGCTTCTCAATGATGGTTGATTAGTTGAAGAAGATATCAAAATTTATATTATTAATGTCCAAGTTGAGCATTTATCGCAAATGAGATACAGAGATATCTTATCATTCTCAGAAAGTGGAAAAAAGCCAGGTGGTTCTTTACACTGAGACGAATGAATATTCACACAGTTATTAATATGATATCCTACTTCCTTGATGCCGACACTGTTCAATATAAAATCACAAGATCTACAAGCTACTTTATTTTCTTTTTCTATTAAATTCGACATCTGACATATAGGACAAATAACTTCATCAGCTTGTCTATCTGCAGTAAGAGCTAGCATTTCAATTTCTTCTTGCATCATTCTTTCATATTCTTGAACTATCCATTGTTCTATAAATAACATAGAAATATTACTAGATGCTATATATATAGTAAAAAAAAAGGTTATCAATTCACCTTCATTGACTATTTCATTTTCAAGTTCGAATGCTGCTTCAGGATCAAGTGATTCATTTAGAAATGAATTATCTATAAAAGTTGGATCTAGATCTGTAGTCACAAGATTATTGAATTCTTCACGAACAATTTCGGTTAAAGTCTCCTGTACTTCTTTCGAACAAAGTTCTAAACCAAATCTACGTTTGTTAAATAATTGTCCTCGTTTCTCTCTCATCTTTTGACGACATCTCTAAAATTCAATTTCACGATATTGACAAGTTTTATTAGAATGACAACACACTGTATTAAATCATGTATAAACTTTATTCATTTACTTTATTAAATTTACAAAATCAGAGATGTCACATGTCTAACCTGTCGTAAGACTTCTTGCAATTTTGGAGAGCTGTGTTTGAGTTTATTCACACTGTTCCTATTTTTTAATTTCATATCCATTGTTGTTGGGCTTAGCCTTATGTTTTCCATATCTTTTTTTTTTTGTTTGGTAATCAAACACTTGTCAAATTCAAGTTATATAAAGATAAATGATACAAGGCATTCAAAGTGACGTTCAAGTTTCAAACAGAAACACGAACGAGGTATATCAAACCTAATATAAAATCACAAACGAGATGAATGACTAACTCGTCTGTGTCTGTGACTTAACCAATTTCGATCGTTTATTGATGTAGTTCCCATACTCACTATTGTTTAAGTATAGAGTGCGCTAAAAAACAAGTGATTTTTTTTACTATGTCGGTATTTCAGTTTCACGGGCCACGAACCTCATAAAATTTCATTCATATACATATCTCGTCTGTGCTTAAATTGTTTGAGTATTGCGCATGTGCAGAGGCGGGCAAACTCTATTTAAATTTAAATTTGAATGTCGTCTGAATGATTGTATATTTGTATTTAAATGTAAATTAATGAAGAAAATATTGGGGAAGAGGAATAGAAAGAAATAATTTTTAAACGACAATGATTGATAATTTATTGTAATATCCAATGACGAAAGTGAAATACAATTTTATCGGCCAGATATTCTATCTGAAATTGAGGTCGTTTCTCGTTGAGATTGATTTAAAAAAATCATGAGCCAACGGTATATGAAATTATTACAATCAGAGCAAGGTCGCGTAATATAAAACAGTGAGTCTCGATCAGTTATTACAACAGTGTCATTTAAGTTATGCTAAAAAAAATATAATTCTTGTTATCAGTGACAATAATAATTCATTCATATATAAGTAAAATATTCATTTGCAGTCACTTACGCCTAAAAATCTTAAACATTTATATCATCGTATACATATATATAAAGGGCATTTCGCGAATAGCTTTACCAATTAGTCAGACACGACTTATATTCTGCTTCTGAAAATAAATAACATTCTCAACATTCGTAAAACAATCTCTAAAATTTCGTTCGTATTGAACTAACAATGCAAAAAACGATCGAGATCCATTCAAAGAGATCTATAATGATCAAGTCTAGAATATATATATATATATAAATATATATAATATATTCATATATATATATATAT